ATACTAGACTTGACAGTATCTAACAACAATAACATCATTTCAGCAAGAAAAAGACTAGTAATTATACAATGAACTGAAGACATGACAAGACTCTTCACCAAAGAAGATATTCAGATGGCCAACAAACACATAAAGAAATTCTCAAAATCACTAGCAATTAGAGAGATGTAAATCAAACCACCAATAAGATATCATCTCTAACAACAATATCAAAGACTAACATGACAGCAAACAACAAATATTGGTGAAGATTTAGAAAGATTGGAACTCTCATGCACTGCTGATGGGGTACACCACTATGGTAGGCTGTTTGGTGTGTCCTCAAAAAGTAGAAAATAGAAGTCCTGTTTGATGCAATTATTATACTATTGGTAAAATACCCCAAGAAAATCAGAGCGAAGACACAAAGCACAATCATGATAGATGGTGAAGAGATTGAGATTGTTAATAGCTTTAGTTTGCTTGGCTCCACATTCAACACTTTTCATACCAGCAGCCAGGGAATTAAAAGATGAATTGCATTGGGAAAGTCTGCTGTCAGAGACCTCTCCAAAGCACTGAAGAGCAACAATTCAGTCTGAAGAGTAAGGTGTAGCTGATCCAGGCCAGAGTCTTTGCAATTACTTGCTATGGATCAGAAAGTTGGACAATGATTAGGGATGGTAGAAGGAGAATTGATGATGTCTTTGAGCTCTGGTGCTCAAGAAGAGTATTGAATATACTATGGACAACTCAGAGGACAAACAGGTTTGTCCTGGAGAGGGTGGGACTAGGCTGCTCCTTGGAGGCAAGGATTCTGAAGCTTTGTCTGACATACTTTGGATATGTTGCAAGGTGGAGAGGGGCATCATGCTTGGGAGGGTGGAGGGACAGTGAAAGAGAGGAAGACCCTCAATGGGATGGATTGATTCAGTGACTGTGGTAGTGGGGGTAGGTGTATCAGAGACAATAAGATTGGCACAAGATAGAGCAGGGTTTAGGGCTGTTGTACCTAGGGTCACTACAAGTTGCAAGCAACTCAATGGCACATAACAAGAAGAAGACAAAAACAGATGTATGTACATGTATGTTTACTGCAGCATTATTCACAACAATAACAGGACATAAGCACCTCAAGGTCTCATTAATCAATAAATGGATAAAGAAACTGTGGCACATTCACACATGTGGCATTAAAAAGCATGAAAAATTCGTGAAGACCACTGTGTAAGGTAGTTATTGGAGGAGGGGAAGGAGATGAGAACAGAAATAGAATGGCAAGAGAATGAATACTGTAATGGATTAAGAGAAGGAAAGATCAATCTGAAACAAATGGAGAGTATATGTGTTGCAATTAACAATCTGGAACAGTATGTGTATCGAATGGGGAGAGGCAAGGGAAGAGTGAAAGAAGGGGATGAGAAAAAAATTAATAAAGGAAGTTTCACCCACTGATAGAAATAATCAAGGAGGGTTGATAGACAGGGGCAGGAGCGGCAAGGGAGGGCACTGAGATTAGTGAATGAATGGGAAAGGGGAAAGCAGAGTACAGGGGAGGTTTAGATAAGGTACAGAAAATAATGGCATTATACAATGGTAATTATTGCTATGAAACAAAACATGCATAAGTGACTTAATAAAAACCAATTCTAAAATAAAAATAAGCAACCCTTTAAAAAATATTACAGCAATGACTTACTTGTGATTGAGAAAGGTTCTATTTGAGAAAGGCATAAGAAAAAGGGGGAAAAGCAATCTTTTAATTTCTCCAAAACTAGGCTTAACCAAATTACCTTGGCTGTTATTGTGTTTGAGGTGGATGGTAGGGAATGGGACAGAGCACAGACTATAAAGCATTTATTCAGTTTATGCCTCTGGAAACCTGAAATTCCCCAGAACTCCAACAGACCCCAAGCTCTTGCTTGCTAGCCACCTTCATCTGCAGAGACACCAACAAACTGCTGTTCCCAGGGAAGATAATCTGTCATATCTTTGGATCATCAAATTAAGTAGAAATAAACCCACACATGAGAGACAAGGAAAATAATAAACAGTGCTGCTTCCTGTTGAAACTAACTTTGAGTGGCAAAATTGTAAATCTAAATCCAGGATGTTCCAATGTAAGGATTTTCTCTAGCCTCATTAGGAGTTTGCACATCACCAATAACCTGGGACTGAAATTAGGAACCATCTATTTTCACACACGTGTGAACTATGCTGTCCGATGCTGCCTAGAACCCATAAGATGCATTACACAGTTCAAGTAAACTATTTCCTCCTATTTGTATACAGATACATCCTTTACTCTTGGTTTGTTGTTCTTGTGTGCCGTGGGGTCAAGATAGACTCATAGCTGTCCCTCTAACAGGTTTCCAGAGGCAGTTAACCATGTGGAAAAAGACTGTCCATTCTTTTCCTGAGGAGTAGTTGGTGGATTTGAACGTTATTCCTTTGGGTTTGCAGCACAGCTTCTTATATCCTTTATTCTTGGTTTGTTGTTGTTGTTATGTGCCATCGAGTCACCTGCAACTCATAGCAACCCTATGTACAACAGCCCTAAACCCTGCTCTAGCCTATGCCAATCACACTGTCTCTGACACACCTACCCCCATTACCCCAGTTACTTACAGTAACTTACAGTAACATTACTACAGTTACTTACTTAACTACTAATTAAAAGTTCAGCAGCTGAAACTGATCCAAACAGCTCAGCCGCCAGGCTGGTAGTCTATTTCCAATGACTACAGCCTTGAAAACCCAGAAAACAGCCCTCCTTTGAGTACATGAGGCTGTCATGGGGCAGAATCAACTAGTCAACAACTCTTAAAAATATTCCTCCAAATGTCTTGTAAATCCTAACTTCTATGTCTGATAATAAACTCATTTGAAAATTAATTGTCTTTGTCATGTGAATGAAGTAAGATTGTTGTTGTGTAGAGTCAGGTTGGAACTGACCCATATAGCTGACTCTCCAGCAAGTTTTCAGAGGCAGTTAATCACATGGGAAGAGATTGTCCATCCTTCTCCTGCAGAGCAACTAGTGGCCTCAAACTGCATGCCTTCAGAATTGCAGTGCAGCTTCTTGCCACTAGTGTAGAGTATATTTTCACTCAGTTTTCTTTTGGGACATCGAAGCTCAGAGTTGGAGGAGAAGCTCCAGCAGTATAATCTGTAAGGAGTTGTGCTGTTGACCTGAAAGAGCTCAGATGAGAGATGAATGCTGAGACACATGGAGAGCTCCAAAGGCCAGGAAGCAGCAGCTAAAGAAACAAGGCATTGGCTCCAGACCAACAAAGTAAGAAAGCCAGTGCTCTGGATTTGGACTGCTAGTGAGTTCTTGTGTCCTAGTCAGTAGGGAGTTGCACTGGAACCCAAAGGTGACACCTCTCTGATGGTTTACATATACCAGTAGCCCCAGAGGAGAAAGATCTCATGTGATATATAGCCTCACAAAACCCAATGGGTTGCCTATGACTCAATTCTTTTCTATATCAATGTGTTTTTGAGATGAGCTTTCTAAAATATGAAAAAAGGTAAATGTCTATTTGCTAAAGCCATTAACTTATGATATTTCTGTTAAAAAAGTCTTAAATAATAAAGACAATAATTAGCAATAATAGCAACACACACATGCATGCACAATAATATTAGTTGTTTTTACTCACTACCTAGAATATCACACACACACACAAACATACACATTTGTGCAGGCACAAGAGAAAAAGACCTGGTGTTGCAGTGGGTGAAGTGCTCATCTACTTCTCAAAAGTTCTCTATTTCATCTAGAAGTAAAGTCTACACAGTTTCATTGACTCAAGGCCAATTGAGCAAGATATCCAGGGTTCCTAATACCTAGAACTGGATTGAGAAGCCTAAGCTTAAGTACACCTGTCTACTTGGGGTAGGAGATCTAGTAGGCTAGTGACAAGAAACTGTGCTGCAATTCTGAAGGCATGTAGTTTGAATCCACCAGCTTCTCCGTGGGAGAAGTATGGAGAATCTCCTCTTGTGCAATTAATTGCTTCTGAAAACTCACCAAAAGGTCAGTTGTGGGTCACTTCTGACTAGGTGGTACACAACAACAACAACAACAACAACTTGAGGTGGCCTGGTAAAGGCTAAAGGTATTTTTCTATAGCATAGGGCCCAGATGATGTCCCTTGGCCATATACTAAATGTCATGCTAAAAAGTTCTTTAACAAGTTGTTTTACTGCTTCCAGATTTGGTAAGAGTTTAGATAATGTTGTTGCCATTTTTGTTTGTTATAACATCAAAACTGACTCACAGCTGACCCTCCAGTGGGTTTTCTGAGGCAGTAAATCATGCAAGAGGAGACTGCCCATTCATTTTCTGTGGAGCAGCTGGTAGATTTGAACCCATGCCTTTGGGAATTCAGCATAGCTTCTTACCTCTGGGCCGCCAGAATTTAGACCATTTAGCCACATACCACCATCTGTCTTATACCTGCACAGGCCAAAACTTCCAGACTTAAGTGCATCTGCTAGTTCCTGGTGGCTGCAACACCCTACCCATTTGACATCTTGATGATACCACAATGTGCTTAACCCCAGACCTGTGCAGGTTTAGGAGTGTGGAGACAGCATGGACTTATGGGCTGTGGTATTCACACAAATGCAACTAGGTCCTCTAAAGGCATGGGAGAGGTCACCTGTGGTACTCTGTCTACAGGCAGAAGACCATGGTGCTAAACTATCATGAAAGAAGGTCAAGGACTCTAAATTTGAACAGGCCTATCAAGTTCTTACAAAGGTCATTGGAGGAAATTAGATCCTATTTTATTTAAACATTTTAACTAGAATTATAACTTTTAGATATTTTGACACATGGCATTCATTTGTTCCCTTAAACCTGGCTCCACAAACTTACAGGTGTATGGTCTCTTCGTGCACATTGATTAATTAAGTTTTATAGTGAATATATAACCTCCCATATGAGTAAAGAAAGCTGAGTTCTCTTATATATGACAATCTTTAGAACATCATTTTGATGAGTTCATTACCTTTTCTTGATCAAGAAGCTCTTGCAATATAACTTGTCTTTCTCTACAAAGTTCTAAGAAATCTTCTGAGTGTAGACTTTCATGTAAGGCAGGGAAGAAAGTTAGCTGGGTGCAGTCCACAGCCACTTCATCACTCTCATCTTCAACTTCATTGGGTGACAGTTCATCTAAAGCACATAAACAAAAGCACAGTTTTAATCTGAGTTCTCTGACAGTCTGGAGGATGGATGTAGCAGGTACCAGAGAGATAATGCAAGGTTCCAAGGCAGATGCAAACAAAGTGTCTGTCCTCACCACCTCTGGAGTGGGTGCCATGGCCATGATGGGCATGTCTATATTAACCATGCAGTGTGTAAATACATGGGACTGGATTAATCTTGGAAGGCCTTGGTGTGCCTAGGTCTGGCTGCTCTTTAGCTCCTAAGGGATCATGGGAAAATTTTTCAATTTTTTTTTCATAGGTCAGTAATTTCCAGGAGAGTCATTTCAATTTGCAATTGTTGCCTTAGGGATTGATCACCCAATAAGCAAGGTAGGCCGCTGTTATTCCTCAGCAAATGGACATTTCAGGCATTAGATACAAACTATTTTAAAATTTTTCTTGTGTGTTTTAAGTTACTTGATTATGCATTTTCATTGGGGATAAGTTTAGGCACAATTCCTTCAAAACACATTACTGTTGCATCCTAGGTTCCTTTAATGGTATGAAGGGCAGAGTAATGAGTAAAGCCTTAGTATTCTAAAGGTGTTTTTCAATTAAAAATACTAATTGAATATCTCTGATGAGATATCACATAAACCAATATTTGGTTTAATTATGACACAAAAAAATAAATAATCAAAATACCTTGTTTTCCAGGATTTGATTGAGAAAGATCACCATCTCTGTCTTGGTTTTCCTGAAATAAGACCGAGTAATAAATACTTTAAATCCTGGATACTGTATATATACCCTACCACCCACTCCCTGCATTTCACTGATTCACAAACACACACGTCCATGCAATCTTTGAAATTATTCATATGCTCAAGATTGAGCTGCAAGGAGTGAAAAAAGTAAAATTCAAAAGGACCACAATAAAATGCAAGTAATAACATTCCAAGTACAAGGGGGTAGAGGACCACACAGTAACCCAATAAATACTATTTACAGGAATTACCAAAGATGAGACCAAACTGGGATGAAATAGCATCCTCAATGTTTGCTGTGCAAGCCACATCAGAGAAGAGACCAGAAAGAGTATTTGAGACTGAGAAGCTCACCTGATCAGAAAGCAGTTTTTATAGAGAGTTTTTGGTTTTTCAATCTTTGTGGAGTTCTGGTGGTGCAATCTGTAGAGAGTCTCCTGCTAACCCAAAGGCAGCTTTTCTCTGGTGGTTTAACTCCACCAGCAACTTCACTGGGCGAAAGATGGATAATTCCCTCCCTTGAAATTCACAGCCTTTGAAAACACACTGGTTGAATCAGCCATGTGTTGGTTCCAAATTGGAGGCAAGGAGTTTGATTATATTTTTTTATTTTGCTTTCTACATAAGAAATAAAAACATGACTTGCACTGGGAAAATCTGCTGTCAAGGACTTATCCAGAGTACTGAGAAGCAACGCTGTCAGTCTAGAGACTAAGGTGCGCACCTGACCCAGGTCACTGTCTTTGCAATTACTTGCTACGCATTAGAGAGTTGGACATATGTAAAGGTGACAAAAGAAGAATCTATGCCTCTGAGTTGTGGTGCTGGAGAAGAGTCTTGAATACACCATAGACCACTAAGGAAACAAAGAAGTCTGTCTTGGAGAGGGTGAAACTAAGTTTTTCCTTGGAGAGTAGGATTTTTCCCCCCCTTATTTGTTTGGTTTTCCCCCCACTAGTTTATTTACAAAATTCTAATACAAATTTGAAGTAATTCTTTAAATTTCCCTCACTCCCCACTCATCAAATTGCACAACCCAATGATTAATCCCCTTTTCGCCTTGTATATCCACATTCCTCTGCTTCTAGACTCTCCCATCAATCCTGGATCCTTATACTCATTCTACAATAACAGTCTTATTATCCTTGTGGGACTTAGTTCACTCAGCATAATGATCTCCAGGTAATCATTTACAAAGTTATTGCTTCTGCATGTGGCATAATATTTCATTGTGTGAATGTACCATACTTTCTCAATCCATTTGTTTGCAGTTGGACATTTGGGCTGTTTCCATGTTTTTGCAATGGTGAATAATGCTGCTATGAACATTGGTGTACAAATCTCAGTTTGTGCCTCACTTCTCATATTCTCGGGGTATATTCCAAGTAATGAAATACCTGGATTATATGGAATTTCTATGTTCAGTTTTTTTTTGAGGAAGCATCAAGCTGCCTTCCAGAATGGTTGCACCATTTTACAATCTCGCCAACAATGTATAAGAATTTCTTTCTTGCCACATCCTCTCCAACATCTATTACTTGCTGCCCTGTTAAACTTTACCACTCTTACTGGAGTGAGGTGGTACCTCATTGTGGTTTTGATTTGCATCTCTCTTATTGCCAGTGACTTGGAGCATTTCTTCATGTATCTGTTTGCCATTCAAATAACTTCCTGTGTGAAAATTCTTTCCAAGTCTTTTGCCCATTTTGTAATTGGGTTATCAGCTTTTTTTTCTTGTGGAAGCCCAGAAGTATTCTGTAAACTATTGTTATAAGACTCTCTTCTGAGATGGTATTACCAAATATTTGTTCCCAGTCGTCAGGTTTTCTTTTCACCCTGTTGGGAAAAGTTTTTGATGTGCACAGAGATATAATCTTTAGACAGTCCCATGAATCAATTTTATCCTCTTTAGCTCATGCATTTCTGGTTGTATTTGGCAGTCTCTTTATACCTTGGACTAGTACTTCTAAGTTTGATCCCAGTTTGTCTCTTATGAACTTTATGATTTTGGGCTTTACTCCCAGGTCACTGATACACCTTGAGTTGATTTTTGTGTATGGTGTGAGATGTGGATCCTCTTTCAGCTTTCTGAAGTTAGCAGCCCAGTTTTGCCAGCACCATTTGTTGAAGAGGTTATTATTTCTCCATTTGATAGCTTTGATTCTCCATCTCACATATTCTGGACATGTGTCCAGGAGGGAGAGATACTTGGAGAAGGACATCATGCTGGGAAGAGTGGAGGCTCAGTGTAGGAAAGGAAGACCCAGGATGAGATGGGGCAGTGGGGTAAGTGTGTCAGAGTCAATAAGACTGGCTCAGGACAGGGCAGGCTACAGAGCTGTTGTACATAGGGTTGCTATGAGTTGCTGCCAACTTACAGGCACAAATCAACAACAAAAAGAAGAACAACAACACAGTAATTACCCGATTTCTTTTTTCTGCTCATATTCACTAAACAACTTGATGCAGAAAAATATTACACACAGTACACATGAACTTTGAAAACATGTTGAGCCATAGATAAAATATAGCATGATGCTATATACATAAAATACCTAGAATAGGCAAATGCATATAGACCAAAGTCTGTTGGTAGTTATGAAGGGCAGAAGGAAAAGGAGAAGAAATCACTGTTCAAGGGAACACTGAGCTTATGTTAAGGGTAACAGAAATATCTTGAAATGGAAAATGGTGTTGATTATATAGCAGGTCAAAAATCATTTATGTCATTAAACGGAATACAATAAAAATGTCAGAATGGAAATGTTTTTTTGTTATTAAAGCAAGTACTTTTATTAACTCTTTTTAAAAAAATTATTTTATTAATTTTAATTCAGAGATTTTGTATTTTCATTCATTCATGTTGCACTTTTTTCTTTACCCTCCTCCCCCTGGTTCGCTCCTCTCTTTGAAAAGCAAAAGATAAACTTCTTCGTTGGTATGCAATCCCTCTGACCCCGACCCCCACCCCCGACCCCAATGCAATCTGCTATGCAGCCTTAATTGAAGATTCCTGTGATAATCATAATATGCTATCATATATCACTTTTAAACTCTTCTCTCCCTCATCTGTTTCAATTAAGAATACATAATCTATCCAGTTTTTCTCAGTCTTACCCCAAAGGTTTTCCAATACTGATAGAATACCAACTACAATCAGAAGTCTGTTGACAATACATAAAATTACAAGTTTGTGTTGAAGAAATGGAATATAAGTTTTTAAAATTAGGTTTTTATAGAATTGTAATGTGGGAAAAAGATTTTTATAGACTATATATAAGGTAAAACCAACAGTGTAACTTGAACCAAATTAATAAATCCTCAACATCTCAGTATTTAAAAGGTTGTCTTTAGACTATCTTAAGTTATGGCTATTCAATGAAGGCAAGAAAAATATTAATTTTTTTCTATATTCACTGGAAATAAACTCAATTGGCTTATTGATTATAAGACCAAAACTGTTAGAAGGTGTGGAGTTCAAGCTTTATTATTGGAAGCTCTTAGAGACTAAACAGATTCTAGGGCTTGAGTATCAAACATATTATTTGGACTAAGTGTATTGAACTTTCCAATATTTTCATTGTAAAACTTATTATAAGATTTTCCTGGCACCATAGCAGTGCTGATTATATTACTTCATGACAAATAACTCAGGTGAGCAAAAAGGAACAATCCTCCAGCTCTTTCCATTTGTGGCATCCAGAGGATTCCATGGATGAGTTAGTTACCAAAGCAGCACTAGGTCAATGACATAGACAGGCATCACTGTCATCCACTCACTCCTTTCTTACTTCAGTGTATACTTATTCTGTTGTTGTTGTTGTTGTTATGTGCCATCGAGTCGTTTCCGACTCATAGCGACCCTATGCACAACAGCTCTAAACCCTGCTCTATCCTGCGCCAACC